CTCTCTCTCTCTCTCTCTCTCTCTCTCTCTCTCTCTCTCTCTCTCTCTCTCTCTCTCTCTCTCTCTCTCCCTCTCTCTCTCTCTTGCTCGTAAACCACCACTCCATCCAGACTTATTTTGACAAACCAAAAGTTGCTTTTCCCTGAGCCTAAATCTACAGTCCTGCCGTGAGGAAAACAAATTGCTGTACCATTCCCCACTGAATCTCTACCGTGCCTGGTACTTGTAGACAAAAAAAATGAGCAGTGCTGTGGCCGTTCGAGTGGTGGTTTAATGTGTACAAGCTATCTGTTAGGTCGAATACAGTCACGGTGAGGGTGTTGTGTTCCAACGCCAGAGTCTCCAGTACTCATGTGAAAGAACCTTCAAACAAGCCTTCTTTTTTTTCCTTGTTTTTCTTTCTCTTGAGTTGTCCTTAGGCTGGGGCGTTCCACGGCACCGTGCACTTTTTTTTTTATGTGTGTGTTTCCCTGGTTTTCCCGATGCGGCGCACAGAGTGCACGACGCGCTGTGTGGTGCCTCGTGTGAGAGTGGCACGCGCGCAGTGCGGCGCAAGTACGGTTAACGGGAACGTAAACCAGGTAGTGCAGTTTCTGTGTAACAGGGGTGGGAGTCATTGCGTCTCGCCGCTTGGCGGCCGCCTTTTTTGCGAATCCATGTGGTTGAGAAATCGGTTATTTGCTGCAGGTTCTTATGGAAGATGCGACGAACGAGAAGGCTTTGTATCGGCGAGGACTGGCCCGGCTCGAGCTGGACCAGACAGATGCCGCCAGGGAGGATTTTGTGACACTCAGCAAGCTGGCGCCAAATGACCCGAATGTTGCAAAGAAACTGCGTGCAGTCAAGGAGCAAGAGGCACAGGTGAGGCGCAAACAGAGGCAGCTATACAAAGGCATGTTCCCACCGCCGAAGCCGAGGGTGAAGCCATGGTACACACGTCTCTGGCTGCGGCTGGTCGCGATTTTGCTCTCCATACTTGCGATCTTGCTCTCGCCGCTCAAAAGGTGGCGACAAAAGGTCAAGATGCACTGACTGATGCTGACGACGAGTCTACGTAAAATTTCGCCATCTGGTTGGTATGGTATGGTATGCCTTGTCTGTGTGTGAGGGCAAGGGTGGTTATGTGGTATTTTGGGAGGACGTCGAGGACGAGGGGAGCTAAACTTCCATTTATGTCAATTTCAAATTTTCAAGCTTGTAAAATATGAGCGATTGATTTGTTAATTTGCTGGTGCTGTCTGAGACAGAGCCATGCTTCTCCTGGTGACGTCTCAACGAACCACTTTGGGGAAGGAAAAAAAAAAAAAAAAAAAAAAAAAAAAAAGGTGAAATTTATTTCAACGAATGATTGACTGACCGAGTGATTGACAATTGATTTTTTGCTTGCGAGTCTCTTGGCTTTTTTTTTTTTTTGTCTTCCTTCTGTGATGGGAGCGGAGGGGGTTCTGCCAATTGTTTTGCTGCCAAAGTGTGTGTGTGTGTGTGCGCGTGTGTGTGTGTGTGTGTGTGTGTGTGTGTGTGTGTGTGTGTGTGTGTTTTGGGACCGCCTGAGAAAAAGGAAGATCATGAGTGAGAGGAGCTGGAGAGGGAGTAGCGGGGAATTGGAGTTGTCGTTTATCTTCGGCTGTTCGTTTTGACCAGTCTTCCGGTATGCCTTGAGAGAGTTTGACGGCAGCCATCCTTACGGTGAGCGTGAATGTATACATCCTGCATGTTGGTTCTGAAAGTTAAGGGGCCAGGCGAAGAGGGGAGCTCAGTATTACCTGACCGCGTTATGTAGAGCATGTACGTGCAAAGCTAGTGCATAAAGTCATTCATTTTGTGTGCTCCGGGCATCTGAAGGCAGCCTCTTTAGTACGATAGGTACCTTGCATGTGCGGGCGTATGGGATCCGGTTTTGGCGATTCCTGTGAGAAAAACGCACGTAAAGCGGATTCGCCATGCCGTTAATCGTGCGAAATCGTGAGTCGTATCCGTATGGTTCAGTCCATGGTGAACTTAACCCACCGCATTAGCCGCAGTTTGAAATGAGTCCTTCGATCGGATCATTGGTGGGGTACAGTTTGCACTAGCCTGAGTAGGTCGATAGGAAGAAGGGGGGGGGGGGGGGGGGGGGGGGGCA